GGCAATCTGATTTATACTCGGGGGCTACGCCCCCTCGTACAAATCAGATAGCCTCGTGTTTCGGTGCTCTTTCAATTACTTATTTCAGTTATGTTAAGTAAAATAATCTGTTCGCTGTACTTATACTTTTTACGAAAATCCAGACTACCGGGTTCATAATAGCGGATAAGTGAAATTTAAATTCTCAAATTAAACTTCATGCCGCATTTGATAATTTAGGAGAGATAAATTATTTCAAAATACACAAAACAAAGATGTCTAGTAATCTCCCTTTAAGGGGATATTCAGGCAAAATAATGACAAAAATATCAAAATGATCTTATGTACTCAATTAACGCTAAAATGACATATCTTGAAGTTTCAGCATGAATTTCTGTTTAAATTCTATATATTTTGGGTTTGAAGCGTAAATATATCTGTATATGTTGAACAAAATTTAGATGCCAATAGAATCCCCAAATAGTTTTAAAACAAGTCAGGTGACTTGAACAAACCCTTGAAGTTACAATAACAGATATTGTGGATATTGTATGATTGAAACAAGTCTACGTCATTCATTTGACATGTTCTTTAACGTTTCCAGAGTTTACTTAGATAACTATTGTGAAATCCTAGCACTCTAACCTGACCCACGCGGGTCAAGTTAGGAAACCACCATTTTATTCTTTATACGGATAAAGGTTTTGTTCCTTTGACTGTCTAATATATTCATTTTGAGAGCAATTACAGAATAATGAAGAAAATTTTAAAACTAAGAAATGAAAATTTTGCCTGTGTCTCCATTTAATTATAACTTTGTTATACATGGTCTTCGATAAAGTTTCGAAAGGCGTTTAAAATCATTCGAGATATTTTTTTTGCATAACCTTCGTCCACATGTATTTATTTTATGTTGATACGATAACGCAGGACAAGCACGTGGCAACGATAGAGGAGGTTCTGTACGATAACGCAGGACAAGCACGTGGCAGCGATAGAGGAGGTTCTGTATGATAACGCAGGACAAGCACGTGGCAGCGATAGAAGAGGTTCTGCTACGATAACGCAGGACAAGCTCGTGGCAGCGATAGAGGAGGTTCTGTACGATAACGCAGGACAAGCACGTGGCAACGATAGAGGAGGTTCTGTACGATAACGCAGGACAAGCACGTGGCAACGATAGAGGAGGTTCTGTACGATAACGCAGGACAAGCACGTGGCAGCTATAGAGGAGGTTCTGTACGATAACGCAGGACAAGCACGTGGCAGCGATAGAGGAGGTTCTGTACGATAACTCAGGACAAGCACGTGGCAGCTATAGAGGAGGTTCTGTACGATAACGCAGGACAAGCACGTGGCAGCGATAGAGGAGGTTCTGTATGATAACGCAGGACAAGCACGTGGCAGCGATAGAGGAGGTTCTGTACGATAACGCGGGACAAGCACGTGGCAGCGATAGAGGAGGTTCTGTATGATAACGCAGGACAAGCACGTGGCAGCGATAGAGGAGGTTCTGTACGATAACGCAGGACAAGCACGTGGCAGCGATAGAGGAGGTTCTGTACGATAACGCAGGACAAGCACGTGGCAGCGATAGAGGAGGTTCTGTACGATAACGCAGGACAAGCTCGTGGCAGCGATAGAGGAGGTTCTGTACGATAACGCAGGACAAGCACGTGGCAACGATAGAGGAGGTTCTGTACGATAACGCAGGACAAAGCACGTGGCAACGAGCAGCGATAGAGGAGGTTCTGTACGATAACGCAGGACAAGCACTTGGCAGCTATAGAGGAGGTTCTGTACGATAACGCGGGACAAGCACGTGGCAACGATAGAGGAGGTTCTGTACGATAACGCAGGACAAGCACGTGGCAGCGATAGAGGAGGTTCTGTACGATAACGCGGGACAAGCACGTGGCAACGAATAGAGGAGGTTCTGTACGATAACGCAGGACAAGCACTTGGCAACGATAGAGGAGGTTCTGTACGATAAACGCGGACAAGCACGTGGCAGCGATAGAGGAGGTTCTGTACGATAACGCAGGACAAGCACGTGGCAACGATAGAGGAGGTTCTGTACGATAACGCAGGACAAGCACGTGGCAGCGAATAGAGGAGGTTCTGTACGATAACGCAGGACAAGCTCGTGGCAGCGATAGAGGAGGTTTCTGTACGATAACGCAGGACAAGCACGTGGCAGCGATAGAGGAGGTTCTGTATGATAACGCAGGACAAGCACGTGGCAGCGATAGAGGAGGTTCTGCACGATAACGCAGGACAAGCTCGTGGCAGCGATAGAGGAGGTTCTGTACGATAACGCAGGACAAGCACGTGGCAGCGATAGAGGAGGTTCTGTATGATAACGCAGGACAAGCACGTGGCAGCGATAGAGGAGGTTCTGTACGATAACGCAGGACAAGCACGTGGCAGCGATAGAGGAAGTTCTGTATGATAACGCAGGACAAGCACGTGGCAGCGATAGAGGAGGTTCTGTATGATAACGCAGGACAAGCACGTGGCAGCGATAGAGGAAGTTCTGTATGATAACGCAGGACAAGCACGTGGCAGCGATAGAGGAGGTTCTGTATGATAACGCAGGACAAGCAAGTGGCAGCTATAGAGGAGGTTCTGTACGATAACGCAGGACAAGCACGTGGCAGCGATAGAGGAGGTTCTGTATGATAACGCAGGACAAGCACGTGGCAGTGATAAAGAGGAGGTTCTGTATGATAACGCAGGGCAAGCACGTGGCTGCGATAGAGGAGGTTCTGTATGATAACGCAGGAAAAAGCACGTGGCAGCGATAGGGGAGGTTCTGTATGATAACGCAGGACAAGCACGTGGCAGCGATAGCCGAAGGTTCTGTATGATAACGCAGAACAAGCACGTAGCAGCGATAGAGGAGGTTCTGTATGATAACGCAGGACAAGCACTTGGCTGCGATAGAGGAGGTACTGTATGATAACGCATGACAAGCACGTGGCAGCGATAGAGGAGGTTCTGTACGATAACGCAGGACAAGCACGTGGCAGCGATAGAGGAGGTTCTGTATGATAATGCAGGATAAGCACGTGGCAGCGATAGAGGAGGTTTCTGTACGATAACGCAGGACAAGCACGTGGCAGCGATAGAGGAGGTTCTGTATGATAACGCAGGACAAGCACGTGGCAGCGATAGAGGAGTTTCTGTATGATAACGCAGGACAAGCACGTGGCTGCGAATAGTGGAGGTTCTGTATGATAACGCAGGACAAGCACGTGGCAGCGATAGAGGAGGTTCTGTATGATAACGCAGGACAAGCACGTGGCAGCGATAGAGGAGGTTCTGTATGATAACGCAGGACAAGCACGTGGCAGCTATAGAGGAGGTTCTGTACGATAACGCAGGACAAGCACGTGGCAGCGATAGAGGAGGTTCTGTACGATAACGCAGGGCAAGCACGTGGCAGCGATAGAGGAGGTTCTGTACGATAATGCAGGGCAAGCACGTGGCAGCGATAGAGGAGGTTCTGTATGTTAACGCAGGACAAGCACGTGGCAGCAATAGAGGAGGTTCTGTATGATAACGCAGGACAAGCACGTGGCAGCAATAGAGGAGGTTCTGTATGATAACGCAGGGCAAGCACGTGGCAGTGATAGAAGAGGTTCTGTATGATTGAAGGTTGAAGGTCAACCAATCAAGGTCAATCAGCAGCAAGTAGCCTCAGATTATATATAAATGATTATATTTCGTGAAACAAAAACCATGTTTTAGCGGGCATTATTTTGGCACAAACTTAGTACTTTAAATATACAAGAGCGATCAGTGATCACACGTGTCGCTTGATGATAGCTTTTGTATAGCAGGAGACACAATATTCTTTTACAGGCCAAAACACCTTCTATTCAAGGGCCATAACTGATCAAAGCTCGTCAAAATTATTCAACCGGAAGACCCGTTTAATATCCTCAAGTACTTAAAGTACTGATCAATCCTGTAAAATTTAATTTAAAATGCATTAGTTGTACTTGAATAAGAAAAGACAAACTTTAATTTTGAATTTGTTTGAAGACCCAAACAAAAAAAATCATTTAAGGGCCATAACTCTGACAAAAAATGAAGCCTTTTGGTCTAATGCTCCTGATATACAGTAGCTGTAACGTTCTACAAAGCAGCTGCGACATAAAGGGAACAAACTATCCAATCATCCATCAATACAATTGATTTATTGGTTATCCTATCCTATCCATATCTTTAGAAAGGAATACATTTTATTATAGATTTTAAAACCAAAGGTTCGAGGGTTATTTTTATTGGTGTTATAATGTAATCAAAGTACATGTTTATTTAGCTTTACACAACTTCAGTATTTATGGTAATTAAATATGGAGGCATATCAAACTTTATCCTGTCGTGGCGACTTTTGAAATCAAACACCATTTGCTTGTATCAAAAACTGATTCGCGAATCAATTAAGAATGTAACTGAAATGGCAGTTTATTTTAGTACTCGAAAGTGTTTGTTTAATTGCGTTAACCTATCAGCGAGATAACCTCCTAACAAGGTGTTACACTCGCATGATTTAATGATTTCACTCTTAGATCAATACAGTTCAATTCCGGTTAATATATCCGGTAACTTTGAGAAACTTTTCAAAGAAAGATAAAATTTTGTAAACATATCTGGTAATGATGATGATGATGATGATGATTATGATGATGATGATGATTATGATGATGATGATGATGATGATGATGATGATGATGATGATGATGATGATGATGATGATGATGATGATGATTATGATGATTATGATGATGATGAGCGGGCTTTATATCTGAAAAGTATAATATAAAATAAATGGGCAAAACACGTACATTTGTTTGTACTGAAAAACTTTTTTTGGTTTTATCAGTAATAAATAAGATTAATATTTCCGCTCAATTTAATATATTTTACCCTGTTTAAAAGTTATCAATAAGATTTCGGATATTTGAAATAAACGTGTTCATGTGTGGAGGTAATTTGATGTTCTATTGACATTGAAGTATAGAGATAAATGGGAGAACCTTTCGGAAGCTTATCTGGTGTGGTCGTTACGACGGTGTTTATTTACCCAAATATATCTGTATTTATTTAAACCTATCTATTGGAAATCTTAAGTTTTGTCGGGTGAACGATGACTAGTATATAGATTTTTGAAGTCCTAGTTTATATAAAAGTCACTAAACAAACGATTGGGAATATTTTTACAGTTTGTGTCATTGCGTCGGGAATTTTTTTTCTTTTTTGAACGAAAGAGAATCAGTAGCGGTTATTAAGAAAGGTGGACTGACTTGAACAAATACATTTAAATGTAGACTTAAGAGTTTATACAACACTGGATAAATACAATTTAAGAAGCAAGAAAAATAAGATAGGATTAAATGTTTTCCTTCGATCTTTTGAATAGGTGCAAGTGTGTTTTGATCGAGATTAGGGCTTTAAAGGAATTAAAAGTATAATTTAAACAATATTTATAACGCGTCATAAAATAATTCAGTGTGAATTTTTAGTGGTTTATATAATAAGATCAAGGGAAGGATTTTAGTGCAATATTGTTTACAGTATTGTCACATACACCATGTTTATTCTAGTTAAATACGGTAACAATGAGACGCTGCTATGTAACCCTAGCTGTGCAGTAATTAATTTATTAACCAGTATTAAAAGAAGGGCAGGTTACGAGAATACAAATGTAACAGTGGATATAGCAGACGAAACAGGTAAAATTTAGTAGTAAACATAGCATATAATAGCCCAGCACAATAGTTACTTTTATTTACGCTGTGGCCCTCCAAGTCTATGAACTTACGTTCTGTCCAGAACTTTTGCAACCTCAACAGCGAAAGACTTGGGTATGTAAACTAGATCTGGTGGTCGATTAACTGTACTGCTATGTTAAGTTACGGATTATTTTAATATATAACATTTTATACATATACAGTAATATTATATTAACACATATAAAGCTTTAAATAATCCTTTTTTAATTAACTTTTACAACGTGATTTTATTTTAATTCATCGACAAAAAAAGCGAACAATTAGTTCATTAAGTCGAAATAAGAAATATAGGAGGAGAAATTCCCGAATATTGAGATTAAATAAGGAGGCAAAATTACAGCATATTAAGGTTCAATAATGAGGTGAAATGCCAGCATATTTAAGTTAAAGAAGGAGCTGAAGTGCCGACATATTTATGTTAAATAAGGGGGTGAAATGCCGACATATTTATGTTAAATAAGGGGGTGAAATGCCAGCATATTTAGGTTAAATAAGGAGCTGAAGTGCCAGCATATTAAGGTTTAATAAAGTGGTGAAATGCCAGCATATTAAGGTTTAATAAAGTGGTGATATGCCAGCATATTTAGCTTAAATAAGGAGTTAAAATGCCATCATATTTAGGTTAAATAAGGGGGTGAAATGCTAGCATATTTAGGTTAAATAAGGAGTTGAAATGCTAGCATATTTAGGTTGAATAAGGAGTTGAAATGCCATCATATTCAGGTTAAATAAGAGGTTGAAATGCCAGCATATTAAGATTAAGTAAGGAGTTGAAATACCAGCATATTTAGATTAAATAAGGGGGTGAAATGCTATCATATTTTGGTTAAATAAGAATTTGAAATGCCAGCATATTAAGGTTAAATAAGGGGATGAAATGCTAGCATATTTAGGTTAAATAAGGAGTTGAAATGCCAGCATATTAAAGTTAAATGAAGGGGGTGAAATGCTAGCATATTTAGATTAAATAAGGAGTTGAAATGCCAGCATATTAAGGTTAAATAAGAGGTTGAAATGCCAGCATATTAAGATTAAGTAAGGAGTTGAAATACCAGCATATTTAGATTAAATAAGGGGGTGAAATGCTATCATATTTTGGTTAAATAAGAATTTGAAATGCCAGCATATTAAGGTTAAATGAAGGGGGTGAAATGCTAGCATATTAAGGTTAAGTAAGGAGTTGAAATGCCAGCATATTTAGATTAAATAAGGGGGTGAAATGCTATCATATTTTGGTTAAATAAGGAGTTGAAATGCCAGCATATTTAGGTTAAATAAGGAGTTGAAATGCCAGCATATTAAGGTTAAATGAAGGGGGTGAAATGCTAGCATATTAAGGTTAAGTAAGGAGTTGAAATGCCAGCATATTTAGATTAAATAAGGGGGTGAAATGCTATCATATTTTGGTTAAATAAGGAGTTGAAATTCAAGCATATTTTGGTTAAATAAGGAGTTGAAATGCCATCATATTTAGGTTAAATAAGGGGGTGAAATGCTTGTACTACTCGCCAAATATTATTTCATTGAAAAAAGATAAAATAAGAAGGCAAATCCTACTACATTTTAATTTTTACAAACTAAGAAAATGAAATATCACTACAGTTAAATGAACATAACATTACACCGTTTAGGTAAATAAAGAAGCCAAATTTGACAAAAATGTTTCCAGTTTTTCCACCAGGTCCATAAAATACCTTTGTCATTCCGCATACTGCTGCATAATTATTATTTTTTTTTCTTTGGCAGAGATACAACATTTATATTATCTTAAAATGTAATTGCCGTAGAGTATAAAGGACCCGATAACACTGCGAAATTATTGATAATAAATTGAACCAGACACACAAGCAAAATTTAGATAACAAAAAAAAGGATTAACGTACGGAAGAGCATTTGTGCCATGTGTATGTTTTTTATTAACTCGAAATTTCGAGTTACTAACTCGAAATTTCGACTTACTAACTCGAAATTTCGAGTTACTTATCTCGAAATTTCGAGTTACTAACTCGAAATTTCGACTTACTAACTCGAAATTTCGACTTATTAACTCGAAATTTCGACTTACTAACTCGAAATTTCGAGTTACTTATCTCGAAATTTCGAGTTAGTAACTCGAAATTTCGACTTACTAACTCGAAATTTCGACTTACATTGCACGACTTTCATTGGTTGCCGGTGAAAGCAAGGATTGAATTCAAGATACTTTCTTTCGTGTGTAGCTGTTGCACATTGACAGAGCACCTTTAACATTTATTTAACAGAACAATTTTATAGGGTCAAATTGTCCACACATACTGAACATATCCTTCGCTTTTTTGTGGAGGGGGGGGGGGGTTGTAAAATCACACTTTCCACATTTCTGTGTTAACCGGGTGTTTCTTTTTCTTAAGCACACATACAACCATCATGTGGAGAAACAACAAGTCCAAATTCCACCCTATTGTAAACTGTGCAATATCATGTGTTAAATAAGTCTGTCACGTTTCTTTATACTAATAATGTTTTTGTAACATTATTCATTATTTACTAATACTTTGATATTGTGTTGATAAAAGTTGATTAAAGTGATACTTGTTGTTATATATATGTTGGGAATAATATAAAAGCAACCGATTTAACAAGAAATATAGTCAGTCCAACAATTTTGACAAAGGCCTCAGCACGCCCTATTTTGGCCACGCCGCGATACTTTCCTCAGATGTCCCACACGTGAAGTATAGGATCGGTTTTTTTACAGGGATGAGAAGAATATGATTAGTGAAAAGATATGTTCGAACAGATGGGATACAATACAACGTCTGAAGAACGCCTGAACGTACAAATTAAAGGAAGCCTTGTTTTTTTAGGTCGGGTGTGTACATGCCAGTTTAAGTTAAATTTCAATAGTTTTTGTCCAGGCACCCGTTTCTCCATCTCCATCGTTCAAAGGCACTGCCTACTATATCTTATACCATCTAACTAATAACTTTGGCCATTCTTGTAATGTTAATAAGTCGAAATTTCGAGTTACTAAGTCAAAATTTCGAGATAAGTAACTCGAAATTTCGAGTTAGTAAGTCGAAATTTCGAGTTACTAAGTCGAAATTTCGAGTTAGTAAGTCGAAATTTCGAGTTAGTACGTCGAAATTTCGAGTTAGTAAGTCGAAATTTCGAGTTAGTAAGTCGAAATTTCGAGTTAGTAAGTCGAAATTTCGAGTTAGTAACTCGAAATTTCGAGATAAGTAAGTCGAAATTTCGAGTTAGTAACTCGAAATTTCGAGTTAGTAACTCGAAATTTCGAGTTAATAAAAAAACATACACCTGGCACTAATGCTCTTCCGTATTAACGTGTCAAAATCTGAATAAAATAATCAGAGCTCTCGATAATGCTCAATTTAGATTGAAATACAGTTAAACTCTCTCTCTCAGTTTTTATATAGCCACGCATGTGGTTAAGGAACATAAGAAAGTAGGCAACGCTCAGAAGGGGTCACTGTGTTTACTGCACATTTGAATAATGAAACATTAACCTTTTACCCCATGAGCATATTGTGAAAAATGGCCGCTTTCATTGAAAAGCCTCCTGTTACAAGTTCAAACTGCTATGAAACTATGAAAAATGTTTCAATACTGATGAAACTTGGCACAAATGTTGACTAGTCCATAGCCTCTGTAACAGCATGCTCAATCGTAAATTTCCTGTTACCATGGCAACGGGGGTACGTCTCAAAATTGCCAAAAATCACTATTTTACATCGTTTTTTCCCTCAAATCTGATTTCAAAGTGCTACAACTTCTCAATGAATTGAGATAGAGTAAAAGGCTTTTCAGCGTCGGTTACTCCCTAAGATCGACCTGAGACCATTTTTAGCCTGTCACATGTCCAAAATTTTCTTGGCGATGAGGGGTACTACCGCCCCCCTTCAAACCCCCAAAACAGAAGAGGGCACATCCCCCTTCTGGCAACCCCCTGATTATGTACCATTTTGATAGGGGCGGCGCCGAAAAAGTGGTCACTTTTTTAACAACATTTCTCAAACGAAAATCAGTGTTTGGGGCCTAAATAGGGCATTTTTTTCTCTGTTTGAGGCCTCAAAAAAGGGGGGGGGACAAAAAGTCGTCAAAACACGTCTATAATTATGAGGGAAAAGGTTAATCGTACTTGATTTAGAGAGACCGCCAATCTTCCCATTCTCTCAGAATACAAACATGTAGATAAAGTAGACTTTCATTACCACGAAACGAGAGATATTGTCAATGCTGTAATACTCTTGATATCGAAGATGAATATCACTTTACTCTGGTTTGTACGTGTTACAATAATATTCGTAAGATACATGTATATATAAAAAAATGTTAGACCATCGATGTTAAAATTTACTCAGTTATTGCAAAGTTCAAACTAGCTTTTTTGACGAATTAAAGAAAGTTTGGCAATCAGAAATACTTACTTAAATATTCGATTTGTTTTTAGCCATCTCTTTGGAAAATAAAACTTTATTTCACATTCTTTATATATCGTTATATCATGTTTGTTTGTGTAATCATTGATAAAGATATTTTCTCTTATTTGATTCATTATCATATGATATTTGTGTGGATTCATGTATAACTTTTAATAATACTGTTAAAGAATTCCAATTTCTCTATCTAAAAAGAAACTATTAGGTAAGTATTTAGAATTGCTGCTGGTTAACATCTGTCCTTTGCCCTGATCTGGAGGGAGATTTACTTTCAGTGGGATGGTCAGACTCACTGGATAAAATATAATTATACAATTTCCTGTCAGGTTGCCTGTAGGATTTCTATTACTGTTATGATTGAGAAATATTTAGTAATTACATATCTTAACATTCTTTTTGAAAACAATGTATTTCCTGTTAAGTATCATAATGTATTTTGTGTTATCATGATCACGTGACGTGATAATTGTTTTATCTATCTATTTGCATGGCGATGTACTTTGTACAAATCTAAAATAAAACGTATGTTTTGTTCTGTCCTGTAAACAAAAATATATGACAAAGATATTTGGCTATTTGATAGGTAATATGTGAGGTATCGCGACGGGGAAAAGATGAAAGCATGTTCACTGGCATAATGAAACTTGAAATATGTAACAAACCATACATTTACACAGAATTATAGCGAGAAAACACCTTCTTTAAACGTCACGAATGGCCTCAAAATCAACACAATAAACATTCTAACAACAGAGCCGATCAATCATTACAAACCAACTCCAAACATTCGTTTTTCTTGTTTGTTCCAGTAGTTTTTGTTGTTATATTAGGTTTTGTTCTTGTTGTGATGTTTGAATGTTATTGTTGTTTCTTTTTTATTCCAGGCCTCGTAAAAGAATTAGACACCCATAAGACTGACCATGCCAACAAGCACCTGACGTCACACGCCACATATGTTCTCGTTCGGAAAGAGATTATGCGAGAAGATACGCTTCTCGATCCCAACTCAACGCCACTTCCGCCACAATATACTTACATCCCTTTATTAGAAAAATACGATGATCATTACCCAAATTTCAACATCAGATCTGCAGAAATTCAAAAACCACTGAAAACAAAATCAAGGGCTGGGAAGTCACCAAGTCCAGCCGGAAGATATTCTACAAAACAGGGAGCCAAAAAACTGCCAAGCGGGAAGGTCACAACCAAACGGAAATAATTATACATTATAAGCCATCATTTATATTAGCTTAATGCAGAAAACAGTCAATTATCATTTCTTTTAATTTTCGCGATGTCGAAATTTATATCTATTTAAGACTGAAAATCAGGCAAACCTTTGTAATCTGTACATGCACTTGTTGAACAGATGTAGTGAGGATTAGTAACTGGCGTTGATACAGTCTCCGTTAAACGTCGGGAAAGTAATTTATATATTAATGTTCCTAATTGAAATTTGTGTATATCAGTCGCCCCGTCATTATTAATTACATGACTAATTTACAGCCGACTTTATTGGTTGTATAAGACTTTTGCTTGTTTTCTGTGCATTATTTCCAGTACAGTCGTGCACCTGACTAAAACCTACGTGAAAAAATACGTTTGTTAAAAACTCCACAAAAAATGTTATATATGATTTAACACCCACCATGTTGTAGCCGGAAATAATTAGCTTTATACATCAGTATATAGTCAGGTCATCTATGTACCCTTGATCTTTCTCTGATGAAGTGAATGCTATTTATGAATATGTGTAAGCATTCTTGCCGAATATATTTATAGAATTGCATACAACCGGTTATTCTTAAACAGTTGATTTTGTTTTATTTCAGTTTATTAATTTATGCTCGATTTTGTAGAAAGTTTGTAGCTAATTAGAAATGCTCGATTCCGTTTCATAGAAATAGCCATTAGTATTGTCATATAGAGAAATGTAATCGCGATTCTAGTAGGACTAGGACTACTGTCACCTCAATATACAGGCAGATACTTCCTTGCTTTAGTTTTCAAATACGTCATAAATTGTACGATAAAAAGACATAGGTATGTTCGGTCGTCCCCGAGTTGAAAGGATAATAAATAATCTTTTAGCGCAATTTGGTCGTAGTGAATATTATAGTGTCCTGTAACCGCGGGTCAATAAAAAGTCAGTAATAGTAACTTTCTATTGCGAAATAAAAATAGCAAATGCAATTTTAACTGCAATTTTAAAAATTATTGAAGAGTATATGGATTTTGTAAGCATGAAGTCCATTAGAAAGTACCATGAATTAACGAATATTTTTAAATGAACCAAAAAGATTTACTCTTTCCTAGTTACTTTAAAAGCCATGAAAATTGCTTCGTTGAACGGTTTTCAGCGTTTTTCATTCTTACTGATGACGTTACACAAATATTGAAAACATTCAATCTTAAATACCCCATATCTTTAAAAACAAAATCATTTTTGAAGTATGACGAAATGTTGACGTTGATGTATCTTAAAATGATTTATTACCGTTTTTGTGACTTTTTAAAAAAAATAATGCCGCTCCTCATCGGAAAGTGTTGTTATTTTGAGTCAAAATTCACGTCAAGTAAAGCTTGCACAGGGCCAGAAATTTGTTAACATGCTCCTTTGTATGTTGACTATGAATCCATAACATTTATTTACTCGAACTCATTTGGGATATGTTAAAAAAGATGAGTATTTACCGTCCGTCAATTGTGTTTTAAATTATTTCTATAAACAGTCGGTTTACTAGATTAACAGTTTGCCTGTTTACCAAAGTAAATGTGTTATGATTTATTTGAAATACTGCAATCCTATTGGACAAAAAATAATTTCAAACACTAAATGACCCGTTATCAAATCTAACCAAAATAAAACAGCACCCGTGTGACTTCGCTTTACTATATAAAGGCGGCTATTTTAGTTTTTGAAGCCAGAGCTATGTTCGCACAGCACTTTCCAAATCATTTCAAAAGAAAAGACAATACTTTTACAGATTTTCCTTAAAACGAACTTGTCTCCTAGTTTCTAAAAGTCAACAAATGGATATATTGAAAAATCCAAATGTTTTATGACAGTGCAATGCAACTGTTTTTACACCGATGCGTTTCAGTCCCCTTTAAGGTTGAAACAACGTGCTTACGCATAAGAGAAACACACTTGAAACTCGTCGTTTTAAATGGACATGATCTGCACAAAATTACTTAAACTAGAAATCAAATTATACCCAATTAAAACTTAAATACACGTTTCTTTTGATCATGCATTTTTTGTCCGAAAAAAATAATGATTCTGTAAAGAAAATAAATCAACAGAAAAAAAAGGTATTTAAGAAATGTCCTAATTTTATAAATCTGTCATCCAGTCATCCGCACTATATGATAAATTTCTGAACATTTTACATAAAACTTTGATTTTTCATCCTACAAATATCTATTATGTGACATATATATCAGATATAACACTTTCGGTGCAAATACATGACAAATATTTTAAATAACGGTCATTAGACAAACGTGCGTTATAGCCGTTACGTTACGTAACGGATATGTAATTAACATGACATTTCCGGGTGGAAAATGAATTATTAGACTGGTTGTTTTTGGTGACAGCTACTTAAGGGTCCTATCGTCTGCTTGTAAATCATTGGATCATTTGACCCAGTAAGTGTAAGTGTTCAAAAATATAGAAATTTGGATTTTATATTTTATATCAACGTTTTAATTTTTCAGAAAACGACTTATCTGTTGTAAAGAAACATAGTTTTGAAAGGTTAAAAATTGGTTTTTACATTTTATGCATCATTAGTTGAAAAATATAATTCTACAAGGATTTATATATAAGATTGATATAGTGTTTGAAATGATTTTTGTCAATATTTAAAGCATGTTTTATCAATATCTAGGTACAATTTTCTTCAAAAGACAGTTTTTAAGTACATGTATAACAATCTAGTATTTTTGGTTTAATTAATATATTTATCCTGTTTTGCTTCAGAATCATGAAAACTTTAGCCGTATTGTTGTTTGGAGTTGTCGCCCTTGCCAGCGCTTTTCCCATGAAGGGTATGTGTACATATAAGTTATATTTAATAATTGTGACATTATCCTAAAAGTCAGTAAAAGATTTAAATAATTGAATAATTGATACATATTCAGTTGATCATGCTAGTTTAACAAGATACATAGATTTGCTATAAATACGGTATTCATTTTCATAATATATATCATAATTATTTTATTTTCACTGACATATGTACGGGTGAAATTCACTTTTCCTTTCTTTTCAATAGGAGGCTTAATCAAGTGTAAAAGACATGGATTCCATATGAGCGGAATGGGTGGTGGAATGGGTCAAGGAATTGGTAGTATCGTAGGTGGAAGCCAGTTCGGAGACTTAGGTCTAGCAGGACCATACGGTGGATACATATGGTAAGATTATTTTTGTTGTTGTTGTTGTTGTTGTTGTTCTAGCAATGTTCAAAATATTGTTGTTCTAGCTATGTTCAAAATAATGTTCAAATAAATATTAATGAGTGTAGGTTCAATACTGAATTTATTGAACAAGTTTAATAAAATTATCTGGTTTACGAGTACAAAAAAATTATAAATGAAGCTACCCGAACATAATATTTTATGTATTTATCACATAAAGTAAAAAAAACCCGCAAAAGACGCGCTGATGTACAGTGTAACTAACATTACGCGCGTCTTTACACTATGAGTGTGTAAAACGTCACGTCAAAATATATGCACGGCCGTGCAATACAATTTTTACAGACACGATATGTGTTATATTAAAGAATATAAGTTGGTTTTTATATAAATACGGGATTTATTTTCACCGCGAGTTTAAAATAAATCATGCATTTATAGAAAAACTTGATTTTTCTGTTTAATACATACTTTTTTGACCAAACAATTTTGTGTATTTGCTGAATTTAGAAGAAAGTACTATGCAAGACACCAGTGAAAATATGGAAAATATATTTCACGGCAGCAAAGAGTAAATTGAACAGTGAAAATGCGGAAAATGAAAATGTCATTATGAAATTAAAATGAAAAGAACATGTATAAAGATTTCTTGATAATGCAACGCATATATGTATCTAGATGACGTGTTTAGCATAGTTTGCCCTGTAAGTTTACATCATCTATATTTACATACACATTTACAGGTCTGACAACAATAACGGATGGAATAACAACAATGGCTGGGGCGACAACAATGGCTGGGACGACAACAACAGGTGGGGAAACAACAATGGATGGGACCTCAACAATAGATTTGATGATAACAACAGGTTCAATGATAACAGGTTCAACGATAACAGATTCAATGATGACAGGTTCAATGATAACAGGTTCAATGATAACAGATTCAATGATAACAGGTTCAATGATGACAGGTTCAATGACAACAGGTTCAATGACAACAGAGGCTGGGACGACAACAACTTTGGTGGACGAGTCATCGGAACAGGTCCCGCTATTATTGGAACCGGAAGCGGAAGCTGGGATACCGGAAGTGTAATCAGCGGGCCGATTGCTGGTCATGGAATCCACTAGACATTAGTTGACAATCAAATATAATGATATACATGTATATAATAATGAATAATAACCGAGTTTCTTAAGACATAATATAATTTATTTCCTTTTTACAGAAATTCGGTTGCAAAAAATATAAGAGAAAAAATAATAATCATTGTTTAAAAAGTATGAAGAAATAAGATCAGATAAAGTGTGGAAAAAACTAATATTTTTTATGACAAATTATTATTTTATAAACAATATAATATTGTAATTTAATAGAAAAAAGGTAAAGCTAATATGAGGTAATCTATGTTACTTTATAATGTTTGCAGTATGAAATAATGGCATATAATGAGTGTATATCACTTTCGCTCGAAATACTATCCGAAAAATTAACGATATATTTTTATTCAACGGGTCACGAATTCCAAATACTTCGAATATCTAGGAAAATATCAAAACTTATGGCTTTTTCAGAAATCAATTTAACATTTTTTAAATGGACTTGTCCATTTTTTAATCTTTATAAACCCATTCATCATTTTCTGGAAAATTTCAAAATATGAGTTGTCTGAACAGCGAATAGTACATACCATGAGAAGACAGCACAGATTTATCGGGCGACCTTCGTCTGCACTGTATACATGGGTAGAGTCAGTTGATGCAAACAGGCTACAGTGAATGCCTTCTAAAAAACAAGTTTTAGTAATTAAGGAAATATATATCAATTTTGAGTGTATTTTTGTTGAATAATGCACGGTATTAGATCAAATACGTAGGGATATAATCACGAAGGCCGATAGGCCTAAATTATTAATTAAAGCCTACAAAGCATTTGAACTATAAATCGTGCATTATTTTCCTATTATGCAAGACAAATTAATATCTTTTTTTATTCGAACATGCTAATAAAAAAGAGAATTGAGAAAAATATGTTGAACTACATTGAAGATAGAAAGTATTTTCCTGACATTTTTGGTTTTTGACGTCATATATGACGCCATATGATGTGTAATCATTTTTTTTTTATTCTGTGCATATATCGTGAACTAATGCACTTTATCACCCTATCTGTTTGACAGTGGAATAGTGTGAAACGTGCTAGAATGTAAAGCAATGATAACTTCACGTAAAACACCCTTTTAACATTGAACTACAGTTTATTATTGTACATTGAACAAAAATAATGTTTGTTTGTTGTATTATTAATGATGTATTGATATGTTATAATCTTGTTAAAAAATAAACTTTGAACTATTAAACTGTTGCTAGTAATTCTTTGCTCGACTCTTTCGAAGAAAAAAGAAACAGCTATTGCTATAGTCATGCTGTGGTTGACGTTGCTGTTGCCGTCAGAAAACATTAATACTGGTCATATTTTTTTATTTCTGAATTTATTGCAACCCTTTGGACAAGACCTTTATATTGTCCAGACCGGACTTGACATGGAGTCATAAATGACTTTGACCTTCAAGGTCAAATATGTTAATTTTGCTTGATTCTATGTATAAATGGCTATAACTATTAACTTTGTTATTTATAAAAAGAATGTCTCCATACTTGGAAGCGATAATTCTTAGGACAAGACATTTATTAAGACTAAATTGATTATGACCTTCACCACTCATCAATGACTTTGACCTTGCATGTTAAATTATTGAAATTTGATCTTTTTTTCTATAATTGGCCATGAATTTGTTTTTTTATGAATGGACTGTCTTCGAACTTTAACACAATAATTATTAGGCTAAGACCTTTATAAACCTCTGATTGATTATGACCTCCATATATCAATGACCTCGACCTTGATTGTCAAATTATTGATTTTTTTTCTTGATTTTTACTATAATTGGTTTAAACTAGTTGGTTGAAACATATACACACGTAAACAATATTTACAAAGTACATTTTGGGATTGGGCAGAAAGCTATAAAGCTTATGAGTGCCCTCTCCTAGCTAGAAAAAATTATGTTATTTATGAATACTGAGCACAGCTACCTTGAAGACAATATCTTATGTAATCAGTCAAACCCAATTTGACGTTGACTCGTATATGAATCTAACACTGGCTGCCGGCACAGACCGGAATATCTAGCTCGAGGGTAATTGTTTACGGCGGTAACGAGGCTCTGTCGGATATTCTTGTAACGCACTTTTTTCTTATAGTAGCGTATGATCTTACAACCTCATTCATAACGGTTAAGTGACGTCATCCTTAGTCACAAAAGGCTCGCGTCAATGACGTCATTTGCGACATGTCTTACATGGGGGTGTCAATCTCCTACGCAGTGATTTCCCCTTATCAGTACATTCGGAACTGCCTCGGCTATTATCTATAATATGAAAAAGGCAAAGCCTCAAAGCGAGCTCGATGTACTTTTAACGTGAAACAGTATGAAATAATCGCTCATTTTTATTTCAAATGCAGTGACGAGTGCGTGTGACGTCACACGTACTGTGTTTAATATGGCTCCGCCCCTGTTTTTAAATGAATAACGAGTTTTGAAAACGTTGATAAAACTTTGTTTGTTTATTTTATTTCACTCTATAATTTTTCAAGCGAAATAAAGATTATTAAAAGTGAAATAAATGTAAAACTTAAAACGTTTGCGACATTAAAATAGCGTACTTGATTTGATCGTTTTGCACGTGCTGTTTGGCGCTACATTGTGACGTCACGTAAACAATACTTTAAACGTCTGTACAGCGTTAACGACTGAATAAAAGATATTGGTGTTCGGATTCATTTTCTTAGTTAGACCATTTTCTTTCATTCTAGATAGTTTTCACAACAAAATTCGACAAAAGATTGTTTTTATTTATCAGATTTTTCAAACAAAATGGCGCCTTCAATTTTCATTTTACATTTTCTGTTTTAAAACTTTCATTCGTTATTTTATACACAGCTTCCGTTATTCTGGTTCCCTGTACAATTATGGTTCCCATAGACGTACGCGGGTGACCAGTCTACACATCCGTTTTTTAGTCAGAATTCCTCAGTTTTTATCGTTATCTTTAAATTCGAAAAGTTGCGATGTGTCCAATTTGGTACTTCGGACGAAAGTTTTCAAAACCATCACTTAGCAGGTACTCGCGTTACCGTAAAGCTCGCTTTGCGAGCAGGCCCTTCGGGCCAGCTCGTCGAGCTCGCTAATAACCTCGGAAACAATACGGAAGTAGTTCTACCACGTGGTTTCAGATGTAAAGCCTCGGTCTCACTTACTCCCGGCAGAGCCCAGGATCATCCCGGTAAGTTACCGGGATGATCCGGGACGATCGGGGGTGAAATTATTGTTGCAGTCACACTTACCCCGGCAGCACTACGGTAGTTCTCAACTAACCACCCAGGATGCGCTCCGGATCATCCAGGCAGAGCCCAGGTGCAGCTACGGTTCATGCCGGTGCTTCCCCGGTCGTTCCCGGATGACGCCGGAAGAGCCCCGGTTGACCCAGGCAGAGCCCCGGTCGATCCAGGCAGAGCCCAGGACGATCCAGGCAGAGCCCCGGTAGAACCCCGGTGGATTGAAAACGCCCGAAAATGATAACATTGATACATAATTTTTATTTAATATAATATCTATTGTTCCAGAATAGTAAATTCATGATGATTTTCTGAAAAATCCTTATGCCATACTGGATAGAAGGGAAATGGGAGGGGTTTTAATACCAGCAAGTGCAACCATCGCAAATTGTCGTTATTCTTTTGAAATGATCCGGGCTTTGCCGGGGCTCTACCGGGATCAACCGTAGCTCTACCTTTATCATCCGGGGCTCTGCCTGTAGTTGCCGGGGCTCTGCCGGCATTTTCCGGGGCTCTACCATAGCTCTACCGGCTATATCATACCCCGGATCATCCCCGGTTTATGCCGGCAGAGCTACGGTGCTTCCCCGGTATAACCCCGGTCGTTCCTGGCAGAGCTAAGGATGAAGCCGGCAAAGCAATACCTTCCCGGATCATCCCGGACCACCACGGTGATATTAAATATTTTATTCCATCCGGGGTCGAATGCCGGATGTTCCCGGATCATCCCGGATCATCCAGGACGTTGCCGGTGTAACATTAAATTTTGACCCTGTTGAGAAATGACCCTGGGGTCAATTTTCAACGGTCACAGGGTCAATTCTCAACGTTGAATTTTGAACCATCTGTTGAATTTTGAACCACCTGTCGAAGGTGTTGAGAAATGACCCCGGTTCATAATTAAACGTTTAAAAATGACCCCGGTTCATAATTTAACATTGAAATGTTTATTATATTAGAAGGCACAGCATCTATAAATACGTTTTCAATCCTATCTTTTTAAATTTAAAGGCGCCTAACTGAGCTACAAAAACAGACTTTGAGCTGTCATGGTCAATTGTGAAAAGATAACATTTGAATTGCATAAGAATTGTGAGGAAAATTGATTATTTTTGCACTTCTGCATCAGAAGCTTTTGGTTTTTGGCATTCTTTGCAACATTTAAATTTAGTTTAATCATATTTTATTGCTTTTCTTTATGTACAATATAGATACAATTTCACATGCAATACAAAGTTATTTTCAAGAATTTACATGTATGATGCAGTTTTTAATTATAAAGCAAAAGGGTCGGGCCACAAGTTTTAACAACATTAGAGGGTTGGCCCTTCCCAATTAGTCTCAATAAAGGTAAAAAGATGTGCGTGAGTCTCGTTATAGTATTGATATTGATAATAGTATATATAAGCAATCAAAGAAAAATGTCTGGAAATAATTAATATGATGCTAAAAAAACAGTGACTAAACATGATTTTGAAAGAAAGAAAAAAGACAATAGAGAAAAAAAATGAAAAGAGTAGAAGAAGCTGTGTGTCCCGCCCGTCCGTTTTATCCTTGGTATGAATATAGTAAATAAGGACAACAATTAAGAGCACTCTTTAGGAACTAGGATTTAAACATTTTGAAACCTTCTTGATCGTTTGATAAAAATTTGAACATGATGGAATAACATGTTATTTTCTTCATCACTAAGGTTATTGATACCGAATAATAATTTATAGGCACTTAAAGGATGGTAAATAAATAAGGTACACCTCTGATCAGTATACAGTGGGCATTTGAAAAAGTAATGGTCAGCGTCTTTAGAACGAAAACCGCATTCACAAATTGGATTGTCGCGTAAATTGTTATAGTGTAAATCGGCATTAAGATTGCTACACTTATTTCTAATTCTTGTGTGGTAATTTGAAGAAACCTGTCACCTGTAAGAAAGTATGACGGAGCTTGAGGCCGAGAAAAAATAATTTTAAGTCTGGCTTTGAATGCTGAAAGTGACTATTACGAGTATCTAGGTCTAAACTATTCCGTACTTTAATAGAAGAGGGTATAACTGATTTCGAATAAATTTCTAATCGTCGGGCAACCGTTGCATAATTCTCGTTGTTTCTTAAATTATATGTACTATTATTACCAACTATTTCTGGGAAGATGTCGCTCAAATAACAGGGAAGCTCGCCTCGACTATGTTTAAAAACAAGAATCAATTTTTGCATTTTCCTTCTATCTGCAAGTGAGACCCAGCCAATTTCGCGTATGAGATTTACGATTGATACTGATCTTGTTAGACCATTCACAATTCGCGCAGAATCGTACTGAATGCTTTCAAGGACATTCTGTTCATACAAAGTACAGCTATCCCATACCAATGAGGCATATTCAATTATCGGTCTTAAATACGATATGTAAATTTGATTAAGCGTTTTCCTTTTAAGTTTAAACTTAAGCATTCGCATTGTACCTAGAATTCTAGAAGATGATGTTGTTATATTCGAGATATGTTGATGCCATGTTCCATCACTTAATGTTACCCTTAAATGCTTGTGTGAATGAACGAAATTAAGATGTGTATTTTGAAAGTAGATGTCGGGGGCATCGCGATTATTTTTTGACAGTGAAAAATACATAACTTCCGTTTTGGCAGCATTAAATTGTATTAACCATTGTTTTGCCCAGGCAGATATAATTTCAAGATCGCGGTTGAAAGTAACTTCAATATGATTTTTATCTCGTGAACTTACTGCTTATGATCTGTCATCTGCAAATAATCGTGTGACACTTGTAAGTGACTCTGCTATGTCATTCACATAAATTAAACATTTAAATGTGATTTGTGGCAAAACAGATTGAGCAAACAATCTGGAATTGTACTATGTATTAATTTTATACACATCAAATTAACCTGACTGGGCACAAGTTGGAATTTTAGCTTATTCGGGCTAAAATTTTAGAAATTGTAGATTT